GAAATAAAAATTAAAAAATGTATCTTATACAAATATGCTTGCTGAAATAAAATATATTTTATTGTTGTTGTGGTTTACCAAATTAAATATATAAAATGTATGTTTATTATTTGTATCAATACTTTTTATTATTTTTAAAATATGTTATCTAGTTACTGAATATACTTGCAATATACACTTTTAAAAATTTAAAATTATATATATATAAATACTAAATTAAAAATTGAAAATGTTTTAGGACCTACTTTTCTTGTTGAATTAATAGGGAACCTGGTCTTACATTAATCTATACTTAGAATTATTATTTCATTTCGCTTTGTTGAAATTTCTATTCATATTTAAATCGTTTTTAATTTGATGTCTAGTTTAAAAGTTAGAGAAAAGATTTTTTAAGATACCTCTTATTTTAAAATAATTACACTTCATTGAAACCCATCATACCCAACTTTCACAAGGGTAAGGATATTCTCCAAATCACAATGAGACTTTCTCCTTCTTCTCTTTTGTCTCTCGCTCTCTGGGCTTGTGCAACCACCTGCCTGAAGTCTGCTTTCCCATTGGCTGAGCCCACTGATCGAGAGAAACACCGCTCTTCGGGAGAATTCTCCCCCACCGAGAGAAACCAGAGAGCGGATCGTATAAAAGGAGCCGCTCGGGAGCAGGGAAAACAGAACACTACCAACTCTCAACCGAGTGCAACCAACTCAAGATCCCAAGTTTTATTTCAATCTCGAAGTCCCAGCACACAATGTCGTTCATCACACGGGAATACAAGTTTGAGAGCAGCAAGGTGATGCAGCAGAAATCAGATCAGCACACGATGGCCATGCGGAGTCTGAGGAAACTGGTCAAACCCCTTCTGCGGCTGGTGAAGAAGAAGCAGCTACTCCGGAAGACTCTGGCCGAGATCCAGAACCAAAATGCAGTCAACGCCTCGCTGGAGGACATGCGCAAAGATCCGGCGGCCAGTTGTGATAACATGGCCAACGAGGAGCTGGAGCAGCGACTGTACAGCGATCTCCGCCAGTGCCCCACCAACGTTGCCATGATCGTGCAGCAAGGTCAGCAGCAGAGCATCGTGCCCGTCCATCCGGAGCAGACCTTCATCCCGGTGCACTTTGCCCGCACCACCAGCGGCACCTTCTTCTGGACCTCGGCCGAGGGAGCTCGCCAGCACCAGGAGCAGCAGTTGCGCCAGCAGTTCGACCGATGGGTCCAGGCCTAGAAATCCCCCACCAGGAAAATCTCCAATTGGCAGCTTTAAGTGCAAGTGTCTCCGTCCATTGGTCGTCGGATGGATGCGGGTTCAGCTTCGCATGTTCGTAATCTCAGGGTGATATTAGGCATAGATTGGATTCTTTGGGCACTCGACCCAAGGGAAACACAACTCTAATTGATATTCAATTTTCACAATCAAGCGTTACTATCGTAAACTCATTGTGATTCCTCGTGTCTTATTAGCCTTAAGTTAGTCTTAGTCGAATCATTGTCTTCCATGTTTGTTTGTTAGGGTCTTCTAATAAGTACTAGGTTAAGAATCATTGTCTTCCATGTAAAATTTTAGATATAACAACTTATAATCAAATAAGAAATAAAAAAAAAAAAAAACAAATTCTTATATGACTTTATTTTTTTGAAATTGGTAACTTTTCATTTTAAAAACAGATTTTAAAAATGGATATGAAGGAAAAAACACAATATTTATTACCCATTGGAAGTCGAGCTAAATCTCTGAATAAGTACACTATATAATTCTTGTTTGAAAAATGGTTATTAAATTGGACTCGCTATGCTGGTAACCACATTCCAATCAGCGACTTCATCAATTTTCCTTGGGTACCGATTTATATCTAGCGAAGCTGCTGGCGTGCAATTTGAAGTGCATTGTCCAGAAAATAAAATATTTCGTTTCATTCATTAGAATTTTTAGTTCAATTTATGAGGCCAAGCTAATATTTAAAATACAAATATTTGGCTATTGTAACATTAACAGAAATCCGATAACCTTTTGGTTGCCTATACATAGTTTATGGGATACTATATGCCTATACATATAGTTTATTATCTATTCTAGAAGAAAACAAAGACATTGCACCTGAGAAATTATTTTTTGTATCTTTTAACCCTCCATATTTGAAATATATTAATTAGCTAAAAAATTGTCAGCTAAAAATGTTTATGTTGGGACAACATTTTGAGTGAATTAGAATTTTTATTGTGTTTTTGTTATTAGCCCATTTTTAAATCAGTAATCGAACGTCTTTTTAAGGGGGTATGATTAATTCCGCCAAAAAAGGCCCATTTTCATAAATTTTGTAACACACTAAATGTCAGATTAATTATTTTATAAGCGTATCAAAGTACAACATTTAAACTATGTTCTCAGAAATTTTCATCGAAAAAAAAATAAATGAGCCGTTCGCAGCCAAGCTCCGTAGGTGCCTCCAAGAAAAAAGGTTTGGCGGTGAACAACATAACTCGTTACTGGATCATCAGAAAGAACTAAAAACAAGAAAGAAAAGCTAACTTCGGGCGGAGCCGAAGTTGATATACCCTTGCAGAATATTCTGTAAATTATATTCTCCAAAATTATTCATATGATGCAATCTTAATACTCATAAAAAATCCCAACTTCCTAACTTTAAAAACACCAAAGTTATGGCATTTCCAATCGTTCAGTTATATGGCAGCTATAGGATATAGTCGGCCGATCCTTATGAAATTTGATAGGTTGGATTGATTGGTTAAAAATAGAACCCATAGAAAATCCCAACTTCCTAACTTAACAAAAACCAAAGTTGTGGCATTTCCGATCAATCAGTTATATGGTGGCTATAGGATATAGTCGGCCGATCCTTATGAAATTTGGTAGTTCGGATTGATAGGCCAAATATAACACCCATAGAAAATCCCAACTTCCTAACTTCACAAACACCAAGGTTATGGCATTTCCGATCAATCAGTTATATGGCAGCTATAGGATATAGTCGGCCGATCTTTATGAAATTTGGTAGGTCGGATTGATTGGCCAAATATAAAACCCATATAAAATTCCAACTATATCCTATAGCTGCAATATAACTGAACGATTGGAAATGACATAACTTTGGTGTTTTTAAAGTTGAAGTTGGAATTTTTTATGAGTATTAAGAATGCATCATATAAATAATTTTGGAGAATATAATTTACAGAATATTCTGCAAGGGTATATCAACTTCGGCTCCGCCCGAAGTTAGCTTTCCTTTCTTGTTTTAAATTCAATTTTTGGTTTTTTGGTAACCCTTTGAAGTCCAAAACGTGACATTAGCCTGAAAAGTCGTCCAGTAGATTTTGCAGGATCGTGTTCACCGGCTTTGAATTGGCAACTTTTCAGGAGAGGGTTTTAAAGTTCAACTACCTATAACTTCGGAAGTTTCACTCGGGTCAAACATTTTTACGCAATATTCTTCAAATGTTGTGCATTCAGAAAAACAAAAAAAAAAAAAAAAAAGGCAAAATAAATTAAATACCATACCCTCCAAAAAAAAAATATTAACGGCGATGTTTCCCCAAATCTAAGGAATAAAAGATTTAAGAAGAGTAAATATTTAAATTTCTCCTTTTTGTGTGCTGACCAGAAATGACCGAATGTTTCATTTTCTTGTGAAATATTAGTTGTATATGGAAAATTTGATATGTATTTTTCATCGAAATTTTTAGTTTAATCTTCCTTCAGAATACATAATTTCTCCATATTAAAAATACACAATAAATCAGTATAATAAAATTCACTCCAAAGTATTTTGTTTCACTTTGACCACAAACTAATTATGCAGGCTTCAGGCGCTTGAATTTCGGGAAACCTGACACTGACAACTAAACTTGAAACGCCACGAAAATAAAATTTGTAAGTGTTTATAAGGAATTATGCCTGTGGAATAGTTAAGCGAGCCACAAACATTTGAGTTTATTGTTCACCCCCCAAGTGGATAGGACAAGATCCTATCTCACTCCACCCAATACGATTCGACTCTACCCGACTGGAATAGGAATGAATTCCAAAAGTACAAGTGCCAAGTATTTCAAAAGGAGACGAAATCTGAATTTCGACACGAAACGAAACCTTAATTTTCATTGTGAAGAACAAGGGGAAAGAAGAAGGAACAAGTGTGGGGACAGTGAAGCCTGTCACAGTAAAAGCATATTTCTGAAGTGGTTTCTGCAAACCAGAAAAATCTTTATAGTTTTACTGAGATTTAAGGGTAGGGAATTGTCCCTGCAATAAACAGTGAAATCTGAATTTCAATAAGACCTGAAAATTCGAAATCCAAAGGAGCAAGTGTGAAGACAGTGAAGCCTGCCAAAAAAAACCCCTCACATTGATCTTAACTTCTCTGTAGCCATCGAAAAATTAAGAAAAATCGTTTGCTCCCTAAACTAATGTTTCACTGTATTGAAAAGGACCTCAATCTACCTGTACCGATCAAAAATGAATGTTGACGTGTAAATATTTTTCGTTTGCCGACAACATGTGTTTAACGAGGGTCTGTCACTTTTATCCTCCACTGTCAGCCTATTAACAATTAATAGCCAAAAACTAATCAAGGCATAAATTCGAGCCGAGTCCTCCGCAAACAAACCACTCAAATTACTAACCCGAACCCATGAAAAAGGGATGGTTATTTTTTCGGCATTTTTGTGCATGCTTGCCGCATCGTCCGATAAGTATTCGACTGAAATTATACTCTCCCACGACGAAATCGAGGGAGAGATTTATTTAGGGCCTTCGAAGTTGTGGCCTTACTTTGCACACGTGCAAGGGTCGCTCGAAAAGGGACCCATTCCGAACCGAAACTACCTGCAGAGAGTGGAGGAATGCGTGACTCTCATATCTGGAGAAACCGAAAAACACCTGCGGCAGGACCCGTCCTGATTGGTCGCCGCTTAGGGGTTGGTTGTGCAAGGATCGGGTATAAAAAGGGAGCGACATTTCGAATAGGACATCAAATTCAATCCCAGCGTTGAACAGTCAAGATCAGTCCTCCACAAAGCGAAATACATAGCTTCAAAAATGGCCTACGAAACTCTACTGAACACCACCTACGGGCAAGTCTGCCAGAAGAAGACCTACACCCCCGCCAAGGCCATGAAGAAGATCTTCAAGGTGGCCTGCAAAATCTTCAAGGCTTCGAATCACCAACAACTCAAGAGCCTTCCCATCCCGAAGGAAATCCCACTGCCAATATCCGATGAGGAGTTCCAGAACTCCCAGAACGAGAAACTGGAAGCCGAGCTCGTCCAACTGTGATCGGGGAAAATGGGAAATCCCGAAAACCCACTTCCTAAACAGCTTTAAGACTCCAACGGAATCGGTCTCTAAACATCCGCATCAGCTTTAACTCCACACTCAGCAAGTGGACATTTAAAAATGCATAAATATCCAGCTTTAATCATTGTCTTCCATCTATGTTTAAGCGTATGAATAAATACATAATATTAATATTGAAACTTGTTTGCATTTCTGATTTTTTATTCGAACTTTCCCTTTGTCATTTTAATTTCCTTGAAGGTTTTCCAAGAATTTGTAAACCAAAAACCGTTCTTACCCCTTCCCCATTCACGGAACAACAAGACCCTAAGAACCTTAACTCGAAAAAACCTTTACCTGTTCCCTTTTGATCAAAACCTGTTGTGGATTCGAAAAACTCGAAAAATCAAGCGGTGTGAGCTGAGCTGAAACCTGTTACCTCGGGGCGATTTCTGATTTTCGTTTTCTGCGCTCCTTCTTAGGGTTGGGCCCTGGACAAAATAAATCTCGAATTGCATCGGAACAGGTAGTGAGGGACCCCGTCCAGGTCCCTAAGATGATAAACAAAAACAAGGGCCGTACGAGCAGCAACAAAGACAATCCTATCTCAATAATAAATGCGAAAAAGCCGCACGGATCGGTTCGATCTTTCCAGCATTTCCAAAAGGGGGAATAATCATACATAAGGTTGTGTGGGCCTTATGTAAATAGTTTTTACATATAGTTGATGCAGATTTATTATTAAAAGCATACATCTAGGTACAGTTTGGCATACGATATTGGTTATCAGTATTCGAAATTAATGAAAATAGTTGAAATAAATAATAAATTATTGTAGAAAAAAGTATGAGCAATTATTTTTAAGATAATATTTAAATATTAAATTATAAATAATATAAAATCACAATTAAAAAAATATTTTTGTTTAAATATTACAAAATTTTAAAAACAAATTATTCATTTTCCAAAGTAAATCGATATTTTTATTGACTTTAATACTTTTTTATCACAATTAAAAAAATATTTTTGCTTAAATATTACAAAATTTTAAAAAATAAATTAGACATTTTCCAAAGTAAATCAATATTTTTATTAATATACATAAACTAATGTAAGAGTTTTATCCGAATTAAAAAAATATTTTTGCTTAAATATTACAAAATCTTAAAAATAAATTATACATTTTCCAAAGTAAATCGATATTTGTATTAATATACATAAACTAATGTAATAGTTATTAATAAAATGGTATTAATAAAATTAATATTAATATTTTGATAAGTTAAAAGTTATAAGTTAAAAGGATAGTTGGAATAAATCAGAACTAAATAAATAAATACCTATCTAAAGCGTTTATAGACTTACGACATTCTTAAAACAATGGGGCTTTAACTTTTAGATTGTTGAATTTGTAAATTGCAGATGATTACCGTGGCCAATCGTTTTATTTTCCAATTAATCCAATTAATGGATACATTTTACCCTTTCAATAAAAAGTAAAGGGGTAATAAATTTAATAAAGATATTCAAAATAATAAATTCAAACGAGGAAGAGACAGCATGATAATAAAGTGCTGAAACATACATATACAACAATCCCAAGAATATTTGCTATTTGATACACATTTATAGATGCACTTCAATGTCAAAACAGACCTCTCCTGCAGTCGGAAATTTTGCAATGATCGGGTGCCATTAGAACACGAGTTACAGTTTCCCACAAGCTGTAAATATAAATGTGAGACGAACAATCATATTGTCCCACAATAAATGAGTTATAATACGATACTTTCTCAAAAAATGAACCCCCATTCAATTAATTGGATGACTGAACCAAGAAAGAATCAACTAGTGATGTTAAAAAATGGAACCCCTGTCGTGACACGAAGTTAGCCTGGAAACCAATTACTTAAATAACAAAAATAACCAAGAGCTCCCCAACCGAACGTGAGAAATCTCGAGATCGTGCCTCAAAGGACTTTTGGCGATGCCATCACTAGTCGGCCAAACAATAACCATAAGAATGAAAGTGCACGATTTGGATAATTTGGCTCAGATTGTAGCTGGTTTTCGGTTACAGGATCGACATATTTCTGACGAACTGGCACAACAAACCCATCCGAAATCCAAAACAATAAATGGGTCTCCGAGAGAAGGCCAGAAATGTGCTGTTCCCACGCCAAGGATTCCTCCGGGGGATAATAGTCTTGGAAGGAGAAATGGGCTCGAGATTCCCACGCTTCGCACAAGATCTCGGGTCTCAGGTCCTGCAGGACCTACCTGCAGCCACCGACTAACGTGTGAAAATTCGGATCCTTGCACCTGCCTGCCTTTCGAGCGCTGTGATTGGCTGAGATGCTGTAGGATCCGCTCCTGGCTGCGAGAAGGTATAAATAGCGCCTCTGGTCTTAGAGACAGCATCACACAGCATCCGACCGTCGAAGCGAGAACATCTCAGCACGCACACGCATTCTACATTCTACGCACACACAAATTTATCTACGAAAACCATCTCAAATGTCGGCCATCAGCAAGCAGAAGAACTCCCCCACCATGTACAAGTCGAAAGTGTCGCCTTCTCGTCGCCTGAAGAACCTGCTCAAGCCCCTTCTCGGCCACGTCTTCAACCTGAAGAAGGAGCAGCAGCCCAAGAGGAGCTCCTACATCGCCTCCGAGGAGAAGGAGGCCGAGTTCGAGTGGCTCAACAACGACATGGACAACATGGCCAACGAGCATCTGGAGAACCGCCTGATCGAGGAAATCCGCCAGTGCGCCAAGGAAGACGCGGTCATCGTTTATAACGAGAACGGTTCCGGCGAGCTGCAAACCATTGACCAGGAGGACTACTACGTTCCGGTGCACTTTGCCCGCACCAATGGCGGCACCTTCTTCTGGACCTCGTTGCAACCCAAAGCCTGCGAACCCTACGCCATCGAGTGGAACTTCCTGGATCGCTGGGCTCAAGCTTGAACCAATCGCTTGGAGCTAAAACGTCAACTTTGATCAACAATGGGGTTTTTCAACTTTCAATTGGGATAACTTCAACTGGACTGGAGCTCGGTTCTCCAGCGGGATGGGTACTCCAGAGTTTGGGCACTTCGACTTTGGGTTCATCGGTCTTGGGCAGCGCTTTTGGGATTTTCTGACTCACTGAAAATTTCCAAAAAGCGATTGGGTAACCACATCTATTAGTGGCGGGAGGTATTCCAACAATTATCCTATTTTTGCTGTGCAAAAATGGGTTTCAATTGTTTGGTTTTTTTAAACTACATTTGTAAACAAAAACTAAAATAAACAACGAAAACATATTTGAATTCCTTATTATTTACGGTGGATAAATACGGTTATTTACCACATGGTACATGGGATGTACAAAATCTGGTCCTGCCATGGGTAAACAAGCAAGAAATCCTGTCTGCAGATCCTTTCAAGATGTGGGACATTCCCACGGCACCAAACATGTGTTGGGTTTTTGTTTACTGTTACCCAAAGATCTAGCTGAGATTTCGGAAAATGTGTGGAAAATGGTGAGGAAAACTGCCATCAACATATATTTATATATATGGTTTAGATAACAGCTCAATGGTTTCGTGTTAGGGTTTAAAACAAACTTCTAATACACGAAACACTTTCATTAGAAGTTACAGTTAGCTACAGATAAGATTGGGCACCATAAAAGAAACTGCGTTGACCTTTTCTGTTCTACTTTCACCACTGTTCGGGATTCTGAAAATAATAAAAAGTTATCTTTATATTTGAATACATATCAAGGAAAATTAGAAAACAGAAAACAAAGAGAGAAGACAAAAAAATAAGAAATACATTTAGAAGATACTGTTAAGTATGGATGTTTATTTTAAATAAAATTTAATTTAGTATACAACGCTAATCGTATTAATTGCATAATAAGTGCTAGTTGCTAGGGCCTTCGAGTCGAGATTTCGGCATAAAAATTAATTAATTTTAATTTGGTTTAAACAATAAATTCACTTTTAGATATTCTGAAAAAGATTTCTGTCCAAAGTTTTAGTTTATATTCCGATCGTTAATCGAAATTTTTGTATGGTCCTAAGTTAATGTTTTTTTCCAGGTCAATACAAAGGTAAAAAAATATTTTATTGTTTTCCAAAAAAAATCTTAATTCTTACGGAAATTATCAAATATAAATAGATTTCGATTCATCACTTAAGTTCAGTTTCTGCACAAGTACAATTTGAAAATATTGAATTAAAGAATTACCATTTGCAGATTCAATATGTCAGGATTGACAGTCAGCATGGATCAGTGCCTGTCGGATTTATGACCTTTTCAATTACCTTTCCCAACCAATATTTTATTAACTTAATTACCGTCTGAAAAAAATAATATATGGCTGAAAAGATTTAATAATGAGTAAATAATTTAGTATTTCTTCAGCCTCTGAATATTGTAATACAGATTTTTTGCTGATTCAAAACAAGAATAGGGAAGTAATAAACACAAAAAAGTTTTTTGTTAGCTTCCCCATGAAGAGTTTTTTTATTTCATCAAAGGAAAAACTAATGTTCTTACAAGCTAAATTGCACTTAACGGTAATGGAAGACGTGAGCGACGCTGTTGCTTTCTTAAACGTAACGCAGTCTAAAGTTTTTACAATAACGTAATAGTGATTTTCAAACATAACAAAGGTATAACAATCAAATCTTAACTGTAGGGTATTAACAATCACAGCTAACGTTCCAGGAACGTGAAACCAACAACAAATCAGTTAAAAACAAATCAGTTAATAACAAATCAGCTAATAACAAATCAGCTAATATTGCACATGATACTGTGGGGGTGTTGACCTTGGGGGAAACGTCGTCAAACGGAGTCTTCTGTTCGAGTTTGTGTCCCGCCAAGTCACCATTGCACTTTCCTCCAGCCCGGTCCTGTTTGGTCCTCCGACTCCGCGATCACCAGTCCTGTTCCATTTTGCTTTTTTCGGTGGGTGGTGGATGCTGGGTGGTGGGAGTTGTCGGGGAGCCAAGCGGTCTTTAAAGCTTCTGTACCAACCAAATTTACGTAAGATTACGTAGGGGTTGCGCTTGGAGCGCGTTTAAAGCTGCGACAATCCTCTCCCGCCGCCCTCTCCCTGTACTTTTGGAGATAGGGAGAGGAGCAACCTCTCCTTTTGGAGATAGGAGAGTGGGTGACTCCCCGAGATGAGGAGATGTGATCGTTAACGGTTTTGCTTGAGCACTGACTCTCCGATCGGCGGATCGCCGGATTTTATACAACTCGCGGCACGACGACGTTGACGTTGACGCCGCTGCCGCGTAAATAGAGATAAACAAAGCGCACTCGCACTCACACTTAGTCACCGTCCCTTGCCCACACACACATATGCGATTCCCCGGCTCTCTTTTGTCGTGTCTGTGTTTGCCTTTCGTTATCAACCATTTATTGTGGACCCTTTTTGGTTATCTCCAGTCGACGGGCTACTACCCATTTTTATGTTTATCACTTTTTACCCACCCCTCGCACGATCTTCTGTTTACTTCAGGTCATTCGATTCGACTGCACTCTGAGAAAATTGGTACGTCTTCGTCTTCCATTCCCTTCTTGAGAATGAAAGGTATTTCTAGGAAAAAAATCTTAAAAATTAGGCAGACACTGTCACAATATCCTGACTCAACAAATAGAAATATAAAAGTGTTGCCTATTTAAAGGCGTTTTCTGGAAGAAATAAAAATACAGCAAAAAACGAAAGGATTATTAAAAACTGCGCTAACCGAATAACGATGTTAAATTTTATAAGTATTACAGTCATTCTTAGATAGTTTTGTATTTCACTTAAGTATTTTTATTTCTATATGTCTATTATCTAAATTAATATCTATATCTGTTAAGGATGTTAAATATTATAAAATGTTATGTATAATTATCAAACAAAAAATGTTTTCTTTACACTTTAATATTGCTTATAAGCTCAATTTCTAAAATCAATATTTTTAAATTTTACTTTTTGAAATACTTTTATTGTAGATAAGAACATTTTCTAAATTAATTAGTGTTTTTCCATTAAAAAACGTTCACTTTTTGGTGATTCATTTATTTTTTCACAAATGTTTGATATAGCAAAAGCAAATCTTATTATTTTTTTGACTGCGCTGCACGTTGGAAACTCTTTTGACTTTGCAGTTTCCTTTCTGTTCTTTGTGTGATTTGTTTTCGTTTAATCTTCTTCCACACGCACGTTCGGCAGCATCAGCATCTCTAGGGTCCGCCGCACCTCCACTCCATTCCATCCAAACCCAACTCGCCCTTCCCTTTTCTTTGACTCGTTTTTAACGATCTCGCGGACCCCAAAACAAGAATCGTCCCTCGCCAGTGGGGCTTATGTGCATTCCTCATATGAAACTGCCACTCGCATGTGGATGCAGATACAGATACATAAAGCGCATGTACAAGCTACATATACACCAACACTTTACGCCCCTCTGGAAATGCAGTTTAATGACCGTTCATGACCAAGTCAATCAGATGCGGGACTATTTACGCATAGCAAAATCAGAGAAAACGATTCGACTACGAATTTTGTAGACACCCTGGAATGGGGGACCGTTCAAAGCAAATTAGATAAACCAAATAGGGATCGGAACAAGGGTATTAAATAACTATTACAACGCATAACAAAGTAACAAATACCGGCTTGACAAACTTATGCTGGTTAGCTTGATATTTCCTTAAATATAAATATTTTTTTATCGTTTGAGTAGAGAGACGATTTTTTTACATTATCTTTAAACCAAATTATTCAGTTCTCAAATTATAATTTAAATGGTATAGTCTGAAAATGTTGCGTTGTAAACATTTATATTAGCCTTTAACATTAAAACTTTAAATAGTGTCAATTTGTTATGGAAAATAATTAGATATAATGCTCTTTTTTTTTTTTTAACAATTGTTTCTTGTCCATTATAAAATTAAATATTTTATTTTTATAAATTATAAAAATAATTAAAGATTTCAAGTTTTTGATTGTTTTATTTACGTTATAAAGATAGAATGTACATAAAGAATAAATATAGATTTTAAAAAACATACAAAATGTAAAAAAAATCAAAAGAGTATCATATCTTTTGGCATAAATCTTTTTTCCTGTTAATGTTTACCCTAGGTCTTATCAATAAACCCCTACAATTACCAAGGACAGCAGGTAGGAGCGTTGCTAGAATTGCTTCCCCTAATCATTTCCTTTTCTCCGTGACTCCCTTTTAGAGCCCTCCATATAAAATCATGGGAACGTACGTTATGCGTGCGCTCCTCACGCGCAGGACACGTACGGAAGAAACCGTGGGAAACGAAACCGAAATGCACCTAAACAATAATAAATGCACCAGACCCTAGAAGAGGGTAACAATAGACAGGTCCCTCCGCACCCGGGCCACTTCGAATTGAATTAGAAAAGGTTGCCCAGGTGGAGTTGGGGGTAGACCTTAATGGGTCCCAAAGAATGAATGCAATCAGATGTAAATCAAGCAGCCAAGTTAGCAGTCAAGTCATGGTAAATAGCCAACCCCTCAAGAAAGGAGAATAGTGCAACGAAATCATCCCCGGGACTTACAAAAAATATAACCAATCATGTTTATTAGTTTTTGTTTTCTCCATTCAAGCTGTGTCAATCTTGACCATCATAGAAATTTTTTTTGGGTGCCAGAGTTTTTTTTCCGTTAGAAATATCTTTGACTAAATTCCAGCTACATTTTCATTAATTTTATTCCAAAATATTAATTTTCTGTTCTGTTGTATTGTTAGGCAATGTCTTACGATTCTTGTTAAATGTATTTACTTTCGTGAAAGAATTCAAAATGATATGCGGATCTATATTGGGTAAAGCAGTTTTGTGTAATCCGAAAAATCGGTCTACATTTATGTTTAGTTTTCACATAAATTAAATTTGTAAAGTACACTTGGAGCTCGCTTAACACGGGGGTTACGTTCCTAAAAATCCTCGTGTTAAACGAAATCGTGTTAAGCGAAACATGGATTCAGTACAAAACAAGGGGTTACGTTCTCAAAATTCAAAATTGGCAGAAAACAAAATTTTGTATTGTTCAAATTTTGTCTGTTTTTATTAAAGTTTCATACATTTGTTCAAAATTAACCAATAATTTTTATGTATATGCCTTTTATAAGGGCTTAACATTCATAATTTCAAAATTAAAAGTTGGTATTAAATTAAAAAAATTGCTTCATATAATTAATTAACAGGTTAAACTTTATAGAAACTTAAAAATATTAAAAAGTAAGGAGATCATATGTTGCTATTCATATCAAATGCATTTGGTGGCATTTATAGCCAGTTTGTTTCAACATGTTTTTTTTGGTGGCTTCTTTAAAAAAATCATTCATTTTCGATTGTTTGATGGCTTTAAAGACAAAAAAAATATATATCGAAATTTTGCAATCGTGAAAGAACGAGGTTTTTATCGTGTTAAAAGGGGGAGCAAATTTGTAACCGTGTAAGACCGAGTTCGTGCTAAAAGAGTCCGTGTTAAGCGAGGGCCAAGTGTAAGTCAAAGTTCCCCCAAACCAAAAGATTCCGCCCTTCAATTCTTCCATGAGCGCCAGATGAAATGATAAATTTAGTTAAATTTCCAAATAAATTTTTCTTATACAGATTCGCTTGGGACTAATGCTCGTATTCCTGCTTGTGGTTGCAGCCCCTAAGAAATCAGATCATCCACAAAGGAAAAAAAATGGTGCTGCTTTTCAAATTTTTCATGGTGAAATCGAGAAGTATGAGCTTTGTGTAAAACTGGTAATGGTGTGCCGAAAACTGAAGGATAGGGCGCCCGATTACACTGATTTTGAGGAGGAGGCGAATGGCGAGTTGAATGCTGAAGATGAAGCTGAATACAGAGAGTCGAATTGCGTACCCACGGGTCTCTCATCAGACGGAGAAAAATATTTTTGGCATATTGTCGCCCAATGGCAGAAGGAAATTGACGACAGATTTTTAATTCAGAACCTATTCGTGGTGATAAAGACGACCGACAACGGGCGAAATACAAAGTTGGCTTTTGGCAAATGGCAAGGCTGGTGCAACAGAACTGATTTTCCGGACGATTTAACAGAAACACCTGAAGAAGAAGATCGCAGTGTAACGGTCTCACCCAATCCACCCACATTATCAGGAACGCTACCACCATCGATAGAATGCGATGGGAATAGCCAACATGGCAAATGGATCTTTAACGAGGTCAAAGAAACCCGCAACTTGGGTAAAGTCGTTAGGGGGTTTTCAAACTTTTTGTTATCCCTCGAAAAGTACGCGAGGACAAAGTGCTGTCCCTATAGGACAGTCAGAGATCGCTTGGAAATCATACACGATGGCATTGATTTTTTACAGAACCTTCAGGGCAAAGAATCCTCCACAAACATCGATTACACTGATATAAATTCCGATATTTTCAATCTCAGAAGCAGATTAGAGCAGTTCAATTACGAAACATACAGAGATGGTGGTGCCAATTACTCGTCGGGAAGATGTTGTCCCAATATTTTAGATGAGCTGAACAGTTTCAAAAGTGATTTTGTAAGAAATCTGAAATCTATAGGCCCACAGAAACCAAACATAGACTACAATCCGTTTATGGAAAAAGAAAAGAGATTGCAAGATATGTATTTCAATCAACTTGGGGTTACTCGCGTACTAGAAAATTCTATGAGAAATCTGAGTAGTAAGGATACTTGTTGCGATGAGGGAAAATCAAAAATTAACCATATAGAGCAATTTTTAAATGATCTAAAGCGTGACCACTCTCTTGAAGAATTATCAAAATTAATAGACCCATTAAAAGAAAGTCTGGCTTATACCAAAGAATCACTTTCAGGTACGGAAAGACTGCTTGTCTTTGAAGACGGAAATATCCAGAAACTGACCTTATTATGCGGAAAAGAATGCCGTCAGGATGATCCAAAGTTAGCGTCTCTTCAGGGATTAATTTTTAATGTGGACAAATTGGAAAACAAAATCAATAACATGAGTAAATTAGGCTCTATAAATGTATTACAATCCGTAAATTTGCTTAATATTAAACAATCTATAGACATTGTAAACGACATGGTCAAAGATAGTTCTCCGGTATACGCTAATATTACAATTATTAAAAAGAAATTGAGGAAAATTCGTTTTAGAAACATTCCAAAAAATTTAGACCATTCTAGTTCAAGAAGATGTTGTTTAAAGGATTTGGTTGAATTAAGTAATCTTTTGGAAAATATCAATAAGGCGCAAAACGATACTAGCTTTTATCATGAGGTCCAAGAAAATATGGTAAAACAGCAATTTCAAGAAATTGTAGATAAGCAAAACGATTTGGAAGGATCAGACCCTAACCCACCCAATGATTTACAACTTATGATAGATCAATTAGAAAGGGATCTAGACAACTTAACAGAGAATGGCATTAACAAATTGGACAGAGAAATGCAATACGACCAAATAAAATTCGAAATAGAAAAGGAAAAGTTCGATAGGGACGTCCAGGAACAGTTAAAAAATATTAATCTTTTCGGAGAAGAAATGAAAAAGGAACAAAGTCTAATTGAAGATCGCATTGCCAAATTTAAAGCTAAAATGCTGGAAGCGCCAAAAGCTTATGAAGAGAAATTAAGCAAACTTGAGGCAATAGCCCTTGAGTTCCCCGAGCAGATTAAGAGTTATGAAAAGGATCTAGAGTCCCGAATCGATATCCTGCAACAGCAACTTAAGGACCTGGACAAGGAGATCGAAAACACAGAGCATAGGGCAGACATTTGCGACGGAGAATGTGACTTTGGTGACCTTGACTCTGTGGACGAACTGATTGAAAGGGTGCAGGCTATTAAGGACAAACTAAGTCCAAAGTCAACGCCTGTCAAGAAAAAAGTAGGTTCACAGATAATGGTTGTCAAGAATAAACTTAGTTTTAAATATAAGAAAAAAGGTTAAATTCTATATAAAAATTTGACATGTTTTCTAAATTAAATTTTCTATTCTTAAATTTTCGGATCATTACGAAGTAAAAAATACAAATATACCTTATTTAAGATCATATTTCAAGATTTTAATAAAAATTGGATTAAGAAATTCGAATAAAACAATATAATTTTTTTTAAAACCTAATCACCCCATTTAATATTTTTTTTTTGTTATTATACCCCTTAATACCCTTTTATAATTTTGGTCAGAAGTTTGTAACGCAGTGAAGGAGACGTTCCCGACCCCATAAAGTATATATATTCTTGATCAGGATCAATAGGGAGTAGATATGGCCATGTCCGTCTGTCCGCCTGTCCGTCCGACCGTCTGTACGTCTGTTTCAATACCGTTTGCGAGTTCAGTTTAAAAGCTAGCGATCTGAAACTTTCACAGTCGTCCTAAAACATGTGTACGCAGATCAAGCTATATCCTATATCTCCCATAGGAACAATCGGATATAACTTTCGAGAATGGAAGATATTTCGCGCAGTGTAAAAGCAAATAACATAAATCTCCCCAAATCTTATTTTTTTATGCATACCTTGATCAGGCTAAAAGCGCTTGGTGATCGGATTTCTATATCCTATAGCTCCCATAGAAACAATAGGGTGAAATCGGTTAAAATTTAATGATTTTAAGGATATTTCGCACATTATATAAGCAATTGACATGAATCTTTCCCAATCGTATTTTTTTATGCATACCTTGATAAGGGTAAAGTCTTGTTTATTTACGCATATCTTGATTAGGGTAAAAGCGCTTGCCGATCGGACGTCTATATCTTAAAGCTTCAGTAGGAAAAATTGTTAAAGGCTGCGAAAGTATCAATTTTTTTCAATTTTTATATGACATTTTTGCAGTATAAAAACATTTGACATCAAACGATGCAAATCTAGTTTATTTATGTATACCTTATTCCTTTCGCTACTTTTCCAGTTTTAGCAATTTCGGCAAAGTCTGCAAGGGTATTAAAACTTCGGCTTGCCGAAGTTAGCTTCCGTCTAGAAAGTAATGTATTTATTTCTCAAACATGCGTCTGCGAAAAATTTTTAATTTGGAATCTTTTTTGTTCTAACAATTAATTTGTTGTTTTAACGAATGAAACCGTTAAGGTTTAAAAAACCCGCTCTATTTCGCACATTGTGCAACACTAAAAACTAGTAACGGTTACGTTTTATGCATTACGTATGGGTACGTTTTTATTTTGTAGTACGTAACAATTTCGTATAACTTAAATCTGAAATGCGTTTTATTAGTAATTACAATTGTTGGGTAAGATAAATTGGCGGTAAATATGTGTTGTTTTTAAATAACATAATGGCTTGGCGATTAATCTGGTGGAAAATATATCGATAGTTCCAGCAAACAATCAATGTTTGGAAACAAATAAACATTGGAAAGAGTTGCCATATCGTACAACTGCTAGCACGTGTGACGCTGCTAATTGTTATTTTATTTTCCCAATTTTTAACCAAATAGAAGGGAAAGGATGCGGGACAACACACCGCCGCACCGTCCAAACCTGGAGGAGGAAGATGACGAGCTGCTGGAGATGATTGACCTGGATCAAGAGCCGCTGGACGAAGATGACGACGACTTAGAGGAGGTGACATTGGAGCAACTGGAGGCCCGACTCGCCGGTGGCGATGATGACGACGACGACGAGGAGGATGAGGAGGAACTGCGCGATCGCGAGAGGATAGCCAACATCAGGGACGAGGCTGAGATAACCTTCCGAAAGCACAAGGCGCCGGTTTTCGCCTGCAGCCTGCATCCTTCATATAATTGGGCAGTAACCGGCAGCGAAGATGATTGTTCCTACGTGTGGGACACCTCCACCGGCGAGGTCCTCTTCGAGATCACCGAGCACAAAGACACCGTCACGGAAACCCACTTCAGCCACGACGGCGTATATCTGGCCACTGGTGACCTGGCCGGCGAACTGTTCGTCTTCAAGGTCAGCGAACAGCGCGAGGAGCGCCCGATCCTGGCAAAAGTCTGGGAGTACTCCATGAGCGACATGTCCTGGCTCTTCTGGCATCGGGCTGCCAACGTTCTGCTGGCGGGCAGCGACAGCGGCGAGGTCTTTGTGTGGCGCATCCCCAGCGGGGATTGTAAGATCCTGCCGGGACAGTCGTCGCGATGCGAGTCCGGAGAGCTCAGTGGCGATGGCAAGAAGCTGTTTACGGCCTACATAAACGGATCTGTCAAACTGTGGGATCTGAAGAGCTGCCAGGTGCTCATGGAGGTCAACGAACAGCATCCCATGGGATTCGGCGAAATCACGCACGCGGTGGTGGCATGCGAGAGGGAATCTCCCTTCTACATCTGCGCGGAGGCGTCAGGTGAGCGCCGGACTTAATTAAATATATAGGAAACCAACAAACCCTTAGAGGAATCGCGATCTAATTATTTTTATATTGCAAACCTGAAATTTATGGTTTAGAATTAGTTTATGCTTTTGTATTTTTGATTTAAATTCGATTTGCAAAGGGCATTTCTTGCCAAATTTTGTAAGCATCCCAGTATAAATCTCCCCGGTTTAAATTAATCTAGGGATAACGCAGTTATATATCCCTGCAAATGGTCAAATAATATTGCTTTAATAGTTTTCAATATTTCTAAGAAAATCTTTGTTCGAAACAAAACGTTTACCTAATTACAAAACTTACAAATAAAACAAAACATTTGATAGACCCAGTTGTTCAGCATGAACGATCTAGTTCAACATTAATCAGATTATAACCTTTTGTTGTCATTATTATGTCAGAAATTAATATAAATTTTTCATTTTAGGCAAAATGCTGTTTTGCACTAACAACGGACCTGTGAGCACGATTCAATCGGAGCACGGCATTGAGTGCCTGGCCTTTGCTCCCCCTGCAGCGGATCTCAAGCTCTTTGCTTGTGGCTCGCTGGACGGCAGAATTTCCATCTGGGACTACTCCAAAACATCGCTCCGTACGATATGCGAAAACCCAGTACCAAACGATGGTGTCATAAGGTGAGCACGACCAAGCTGTAAAACTACAATTAAAATATTTTTAGATTGGTACAAAATTAATTGTAAACAAGAAAGGAACGCTAACTTCGGGCGGAGCCGAAGTTGATATACCCTTGCAGAATACTCTGTAAATTATATTCTCCAAAATTATTCATATGATGCATTCTTAATACTCATAAAAAATCCGAACTTCCTAACTTTAACAACAACAAAGTTATGGCATTTCCAATCGTTCAGTTATATGGCAGCTATAGGATATAGTCGGCCGATCCTTATGAAATTTGATAGGTCGGATTGATTGGCCAAAAATAAAATCCATAGAAAATCCCAACTTCCTAACTTTACAAACACCAAAGTTATGGCATTTCCGATCAATCAGTTATATGGCAGCTATAGGATATAGTCGGCCGATCCTTATGAAATTTGGTAGGTCGGATTGATTGGCCCAAAATAAAATCCATAGAAAATCCCAACTTCCTAACTTTACAAACACCAAAGTTATGGCATTTCCGATCAATCAGTTATATGGCAGCTATAGGATATAGTCGGCCGATCCTTATGAAATTTGGTAGGTCGGATTGATTGGCCAAAAATAAAATCCATAGAAAATCCCAACTTCCTAACTTAACAAACACCAAAGTTATGGCATTTCCGATCATTCAGTTATATGGCAGCTATAGGATATAGTCGGCCGATCCTTATGAAATTTGGTGGGTCGGATTGATTGGCCAAATATAAAACCCATAGAAAATCCCAACTTTCTAACTTTACAAACACCAAAGTTATGTCATTTCCGATCAATCAGTTATATGGCAGCTATAGGATATAGTCGGCCGATCCTTATGAAATTTGGTAGGTTGGATTGATTGGCCAAATATAAAACCCATAGAAAATCCCAACTTCCTAACTTTACAAACACGAAAGTTATGGCATTTCCGATCAATCAGTTATATGGCAGCTATAGGATATAGTCGGCCGATCCCGGCCGTTCCGACTTATATACTGCGTGCAAAGGAAAGAAGGGTGTGTGCAAAGTTTCAATCCGATAGCTTTAAAACTGAGAGACTAGTTTGCGTAGAAACAGACAGACGGACAGACGGACAGACGGACATGGCTATATCAACTCAGGAGGTGATCCTGATCAAGATATATATACTTTATAGGGTCGGAGATGTCTCCTTCACTGCGTTGCACACTTTTGACCAAAATTATAATACCCTCTGCAAGGGTATAACAAGAAAGGAAAGCTAACTTCGGGCGGAGCCGAAGTTGAAATACCCTTGCAGAATATTATGCAAATTATATTCTCCAAAATTATTCATATGATGCATTCTTAATACTCATAAAAAATCCCAACTTCCTAACTTTAAAAACACCAAAGTTATGGCATTTCCAATCGTTCAGTTATGTATATGGCAGCTATAGAATATAGTCGTCCGATCCTTATGAAATTTGATATGTCGGATTGATTGGGCAAAAATAAAACCCATAGAAAATCCCAACTTCCTAACTTAACAAACACTAAAGTTATGGCATTTCCGATCAATCAGTTATATGGCAGCTATAAGATATAGTCGTCCGATCCTTATGAAATTTGGTACGTCGGATTGATTGGCCAAATATAATACCCATAGAGAGTCCCAACTTCCTAACTTAACAAACAGCAGAGTTATGGCATTTCCGATCAATCAGTTATATGGCAGCTATAGGATATAGTCGGCCGATCGCGGCCGTTCCGACTTATATACTGCGTGCAAAGGAAAGAAGGGTGTGTGCTAAGTTTCAATTCGATATCTTTAAAACTGAGAGACTAGTTCGCGTAGAAACAGACAGACGGACAGACGGACATGGCTATATCAACTCAGGAGGTGATCCTGATCAAGAATATATATACTTTATAGGGTCGGAGATGTCTCCTTCACTACGTTGCACACTTTGGACCAAAATTATAATACCCTCTGCAAGGGTATAATAACCTTTATAAGTACAACCAAAGTTTTACTTTTTGTATATTATTTAAAGTAACAAGCCCCAAACCAAGCATTTTTGCGCTTTTGTTATAACTTCTTTAGAGAAGTTCATGTGACAAGCACTATTTAAACATTTTTGTTATTATTTTGAACCATATTTTTTTCCCAACTATAAAGCACTAATCCGGTAAACATCGTACCTAATGGTAGAATGTACAAAAAATATAATATTTTATGCAATTGTATAAGTGCAAATCTCCCAAGTAAACCACCTCATTTCAGAAGGTCCGGATATTTAGCACCTTTTTGAGAACTAAAAATGTTATTTTATGGAAGCCAATTTCTAGCGAAAAAATCATCAATCATCATAAGCCCATCTTAAAAATCAGAAGGTTTAAAATAAAAAGTATGCAAATTTACAAAAAGTTCAAAAAATTAAATGTTGTAACTTTAATAAGCAAAAAATAATACATTTTCGCTTAATACGTTGATTTGCGAAATATTGGTTAGTATGACACATAAATATAAGTCGATTTCCATCAAAACTCAAGGTTATAAACGCTACAGTACCACTTTTTGGTCAAAAACCACCTATTTTACACCATTAAAAAAATATAAAAATTTGACAATTTTGATCTGATTTAACATTAATTATGTTTAAAAATTTTGGCGATCGGGCGTCTATATCCTATATTGTACACATACGATGTTAAAAGACCCAAGAATCTATCTTTCCCCCTGCGCGAAATATTTAAGCACTAATAATTCAAGCTGATCAATAATATATGTACAACTTTATAAGGACGGAAATGTCTCCTTTAATGTGTTTCAAACTTCCAACATACCAACAATACCAAGGGTTCACATATGTTATATACAAAAAAAACTTAAACTACTTTATTTCTTAGACGACTTTTGTACGGTATAGTTAAATGATTTTCTTTAATTATTTCAGAATCAAGTGGTTGAACGACCACACTATTCTGGCGGCCACAACGCAGGGCAATCTGAATGCATTTGACGCCCGTACAGGATCGCTGAAATTTACGCTGACGGGTCACTTCTATCACATCTACGAGTTTGTCTATAAGGCGCAAGAAAATCTGCTGCTGACGGTGTCCGAGGACAACACAGCCAAGATATTCAAGGTCCCGGCGCTGGGTGATTAGTTAGAATATAAAAATGTTGTACCGTGCTGTATATGTAAATAGTAAATACATATAAAAATTACGATTTTTTGTTCACCTCGGCAGCCAGGAGCATTGAACCCTCGGGGCGGTCCTGTTTCACTTGTCCTATATACATATACCAAATAATGGGGGAAGTCAAAAGCTGACTAAATATAGAACAAACAAAGCAGGTACAGTTTGAGTTAAGAAAATAGCACCGCCAGTGAAACACTTTTCTTGTTGTGTCTCCCGCCGGTAATTTTTGAAATAAAATATTTAAGTAAATAATAAATGTAAACGATGCACGATTATGGAACGATACAATGTTTTCCAAATATAATATCTTCATTAACGAACAACTGGAAATGACATTTTCTTATCACCGATTCGTATGTTTATTTAAATTTCCAAGTCATTTGTTCAAATAAACTTGTACTAGGCAGTACTAACATTTCGAGCTCGGGTGCATGTGACACCAGAACCAAGTGCACGCTAAAATGCAACTGCAGCGAACTCTCTTTAATCCCTTACTCTCTTAAATTGTATGAACCATGCGTACTGGGAACTGTTTCAGAAGAGACAAACACTTGTTTATGTTTTGGTTTGTCCGTTGTTGTTCACCTCCTCCATACACACGCACACACAATAGCAAACAATTGTCTCTGAAAACGAAAACAAATTTTCGGATTTACATATTTATCTTTTTGCTGTATTATTTTATTAAAGCTTTTTTTGAAGAGTGCAACCGCTGATGGAAATCTCAGTCTCAGTCTGTTTTGGGTTATCAGTGCGAATGGGTTACGGTGTTCCCTCTATCCGGTAAAAAGTTGAAACGGGTTAAATCGTAATCAGAATTAAATGGCATAAGAACAACTAATGTAAATCAAACGTAATGCCGGTGAATTTAAGATGTTCTATAACAAAATAACAAAGGAATTAAGGATTTCCGCACCAAAAATAATAGTATTTACAATGTTCATACACGAACCTGCGTATTTGAACGGTGATCATGAAAACTCATGACTCGTGGCATGATATGATGGAAGCGACACCGAAATATTAACGAAAATTGCATATGGAAGTGATCCATCATACTTCTCCTTCCAAACGAATATATAATGTGTGGCGCGACAAACTTGAAAAAAAAATTTTAAAAAGGGTTAATTTTGTGTGCAAAAACTTGAATACTCTAGCTGATAGGCCAATGTATTTAGTGATCTTATATCAAATAAAATTTGTAGCATCTATCGATACCTTACTTTTTTAAAAAACTTTGTAAAAATAAAAAATATTTTCTTCTTACCTAGTGGGTTACCATGGAAAATGAAAGAATATTGTTATCTGATTTAGAATATTTAATTCATCAATTTTATTTAAAAGTTATCCTAAATAGAGAATTAGAATAGTATTGATAAAACGGTACTTTAAATGAAATGTAAAGCCGGATATATTGAGTTTCTGTCTTGAAAATTTGATAGCATCTGTAGTAGAGTAATGATAAAAGCAAATATGTTTTGCAAACTTCAACCTATATCTTTTATACCCCACAAAGAGGTATAGAAGCAGATATCCCGCAGCTACGAGGCGACAATAAAAGTCACACGAAATCACAGTTAATCAACCGCAAACGGGGGCCCGAACTGATCCACCGAAACCCCTGTAATTGTGGCTATGAACACCACCACACCGACAAACCACCAGCGCCCTGTGTGTGTCTTTTACAATTAGATTACCAGAGTAGCTCCACGGACCCAAAATGAACTGATCCCGCGGCTGAGCTACTAAACTGTGTGGAGGCGCTTCACTTGTTTTGTTTATTATTTGTAGTACTTTTTATAATGGGCGCGAGTGAGATATGTAGCTAATCCATATAGTCAGACGGCTACTAAAGGTTCACGATTCACAATTGAATTATCACAGTTTGAAATGTCAAATGCACGCGCCTGTGCGACGCCCCCTTCCCCCACGAAACTACAGTTCATGATAATCCGCTCAAGTGTTTAACAAAAGTCACTCGGTTCGGTGTACTATTATTATTCCCCCACATTAATGAGTATAAAATCACACAAAAGACCGCCAAATCTATTGGAGTAATCGGTGTCAAATGAGCAACAAAAGGTGATGGAACAGAGAAGCCTTATAGGGGGCTCTACGGATTACCCAAGAAATTATAAGCCCGGGAATTACTTTAACTGTGGTTAGCACACAAATCCCAATACTTAAAGCTGTAAAGTTAATTGACATTTGATTCACAGATATGTCTTCGCAGTTTTATAATCAGTAATATATTAGCTGAAGCATGGCTGGGGCTTCTTATCACCCATTTCCTCCTATTCGAAATTTAAATTGTACCGGAAATCAGCCACGCACACAGTGATCATTGTTTGAGGGATACTATTTGAAAGAAGTAATACTTTTTTATACTAAAATATCTTTCAATTACCCACTAAAGTCCTTTATTTTATTCAGTATTTTAATTCCTAAATATTTATGGAATACACTTTTTTTATTCATTTGTAAAACATTTTACAAAAGTATCCTTTAGTTATTACTCAATCACTCTGTGCTTTGTTTTTTTCCAAAGACTTTTTTTGTAAACTTTGGAAACATTTATTAAAATATAAGGAAAAAATGCAATATAATATTTAAATATATGTAAAATATTTAATTATAGCTTAAGCTATTTCAATACATTGGGACTTTTATAGATCACCACGTTGCATTAATAGTTTTTGGCAGGTTTCACTTGCAATATTTATTATTTATTCATAAATACGCTAAATCAAATACAATTATAGATATCCACAAATCAGTGCGCTAATATCATTTGGCACATACAATATCCAGCGCTTGAATAGACTGACAACAAAGTGGCTAGAAGATTACGGCCGGTATCGTCATTCCGACTGTGGGCAACCCAAAAGGTCAATGACTAAGACGGAAGAGCATTTAGTTTAAGAGATATGGTGGGGAGTTTCTCTTAGGCGGATACACGTGCTTTATTTTTGGCACTCAAACTTCTGTCTAGCGAAATGTTTGCGGGGTCTTGCATCATGCGTTTGATAAAACCGGCAAGCGGAAGCCTCTGTGGAAAGTGCGGGCTCCTTTTACAGGTAACAGGTAAGATGTTTATGACCCAAAAGAGCGCGAGAGAGCAGCTGCTGCTTTCAAAAGAAAAAACCTAAAACAAAAACGAAATCTAAAAGCAGAAAAAACGACAATGCAAGCCCAAGTTGAAGCGGCAGCGCAGCCGGCAGAGCGACAGGCTTCGCTCATAAAGGGGGGTAAAATAATATTCCAAACTTAGTTTGAACTCGGAGCGTGCGGCGAGCGGTTCACCCGGCATTTGTAGTTTTTTCGGTTTTTTAAAAAAATCAACCAGTCTCCTTTTTCGGTTTCTTCGAATATACAAAGGTGCGGACAACATAATAGGACCACGTGTGTTTATATAGCTTATCGGTATTATAATATACATATACTATAACCCAATGAGAAAAGTGTGTGTGTTTGTGTACTGAAGAGCACTAAATTAGTTGAATCGCGGAACAAAACAGAGCTAAAAACCATGTGGACTGAATCGAACTGAACTGTATTCGAAGCTCCACATCAGCACAAAGAGAGTGCTGATAAAAAAAAAAACAGAGAACAGTTCATGAAAACCCCGATAAGAGCAATGCACTTAATTACATAAAAACCAACCGCAAAAAATCGGAAAAGTTATCTTAAAAAATTAAATCCTTAGGGGTCCTAGGAACTACCCCAACCACTCAACATACACATATCCTGAAAAATGGCGCGCGTTCAGGCCAGCGACTCCTTGATACCCCGCCAGGTGTTCGAGGTAATTCCGACGGAACCCAACAACTCCACGGCGGACAGCGGGAGCCAGGGTTCCGGGGTGAGGATGAAGAAGCAGATCGGCCTTCTCGACGGAGTGGCCATTATCGTGGGCGTAATCGTGGGCTCCGGCATCTTCGTCAGTCCCAAGGGAGTGCTCATGTTCTCCGGCTCCATTGGGCAGTCCCTCATCGTCTGGGTCCTCTGCGGCGTTCTGAGTATGGTGGGAGCCCTATGCTACGCGGAACTGGGTGAGTAACGACGCGCCATGTAAAGGGGTCGCCTCTGGAATTTTTTCTGCTTGTCGCTACCTATTCGATAATAAGCCCCCACGCCCAGTCAACATGGTTGTGCGGCGCTGGCAGTTATTGCTTCTGGCTGATGACAGCACTTCATGGGTCAGCATATGGCACATGGCGAGGTGGGGGAGTTGTTTACATAGGTGTAAGACAAGCACCTGTGGCAAGCACAGCACAATCGACGAACTGGAGCAAGAGCACTTCTCGCTGAGAATTGAAAAGAAAATGCTTGAGTCAGGAAAATCTGCTTATGGGGTTAAGGCTACAGATTATCCGCAAATCTAGAAATGCACTGAAACAAAATATATTCAGTTGTTTTGGGTGTACGTATTTTATAGGTTGCTTGTCAACTGCTAAGACGATTTTAATCATCAATGACTCTACATTTAATCTATAAAAATAATAGCCTTGGTACAAGCACGCACTGTTAATATTGGTTTTAATATAAAAATGGTGATTATTTCAGCGATGGCTTATTTTGAGTTTGAACTGTAATACGAAAAGTTCAAGTGACATCTGGTACTTGGATATTCCATAAATAAGCAGCAAGCGTTTTTAGTGGGAAATATTCAGCTTAGTTTCAATTAAAACGACTCAGATTCAAGAACCAAAAACGAAAATTCACTGTGAACTTTGGGTTAGCTCTCCCGCTGAGAGAATCTGTTGAGATTAGCTACTCCAACCAATTACCATGGAGACACATTTAAGGCATGGAAATTAACTAGGGTCCATCAAGATGCCCTCTTGAAGGGGCAGACAAACCAAATCAGTTCCAGTTCCCCAACGAAATGATGAACTGAATTTGATAGAAAGAGGGGACCAGAAAATGAGCCAGACAAAACATTCAATTATCAACGAACTAACACTGGTATCTCTTAGTATAGTGATCCCTTTTTTAGTTTAATTTATTATACTCATTAAATTCGGAAAGCTTAATAGTTTTCGTAAACAAAACTAGAAACCAAACTACTACTGAGTACATACATATGTACATACATACATTTCATAACCAACACAAAATACTTTTTTTATAAATAAGGATTCATAAAAATGGATTATTTCATTTGTGTGCTTTTGCAAAGAATTTTCAACCCTTTTAAGTCCAAAAAAATCTTATGATATTCGAATAGAATGAGAAATAAAATTATTCTCTTTTAAACCTTAAATAAACCCTCAGAAGATTAAACAATTTGAAGAGAACCATTTCTCTTTTTTTTACGTCATCTTTACCAAAGTATTCGTTTTCATTGAAAACCCGTTTATAATAAGCCTGGGAGACTCATTTCGATAACGTTTTCGGCAGACACAAATTAGCATATTTTTTTGAGTTTATCTTACGCAGGCTCAGTCTTAAAATATCTAAAGTAAATAATACGATTTTTTTAGTATGTTTTAAACCCACATTCAGATTTTTTTAAACAAATGTGGAGAGTTAGTAACCAAAACAGCTCCCTAATTTTATGTATTTTTAATCGAAATTATTAGATATTATTGACTAATTCGCCTAAGCAATCAATCAATCCTCTAAAAAGTTAACACCTATCCCTCTACAATAACTGTATGATAAATGGTATAAAAGAACGATCACTAATTGTTTGAACAACCCTCGTTAGGTAGACAAATATTTCTAAGCATTAGCGGAACTATGTCACGCTTATCAGTTTGCTACTGTTTTCAGCCCATGGGGAAAACTCTCTTATAATAATAATATCTTCTTAAGCTTCATCAGCATTGTGGTTAAAGTTATAAACAAATATTTATTTGAGGCATTAATCTTTACAAAAAGTAGATAAGTGTGCTGGGATTATATAAGACGTTTTAAATTAGCATACTCATTTAAAACTATTTTAAATATGATGATAATGTTTGTTAAAAGGTGAACTAATAAAATTATTAAATTCCGGTTCTTTATTGCATTTCCTTGTCTAATCATTGATATTTTCGCAGGCACGATGATACCTAAATCGGGCGGAGATTACGCCTATATAGGAACTGCATTTGGCCCCCTGCCTGCGTTTCTTTATCTGTGGGTGGCCCTGCTGATTTTGGTGCCCACGGGTAATGCCATCACGGCATTAACCTTCGCCCAATATCTGCTAAAACCTTTCTGGCCCTCCTGTGAAGCGCCCATCGAAGCGGTTCAGCTGCTGGCGGCTGCCATGATATGTAAGATCCGCTGATAGGCGGGATTAATCAGTTGTAGAACTACTATAGACTAATTGCTTGCCCTTTGACCCTAGGTGTGCTAACACTTATCAACTGCTATAATGTGAAGTGGGTGACACGTGTGACGGACATTTTTACGGGCACCAAAGTGGTTGCCCTGCTGGTGATCGTCGGAGCTGGAGTCTATTGGTTGTTGAAAGGACACACGGAGCACTGGGAGCAACCGTTCTCTGGAAGCCAAAAGGATTCCGGCTTTATAGCTCTGGCATTCTACAGCGGCCTCTTTTCATACTCTGGGTGGAACTACCTGAACTTCGTAACCGAGGAGCTCAAGGATCCGTACCGCAATCTTCCAAAGGCCATTTGCATATCTATGCCGGTGGTCACCATTATCTACATGATCACGAACATTGCATACTTTTCGGTGCTCTCTCCGGACGAGATTTTATCGTCGGACGCAGTGGCTGTCACTTTTGGGGACAAGATGCTGGGATTTCTGTCCTGGATAATGCCTTTCGCAGTGGCCTGCTCCACTTTCGGCTCCTTAAATGGAGCGATCTTCGCCTCCTCTCGACTTTTCTTCGTGGGTGCCAGGAACGGTCACCTACCTGCAGCTATTTCCCTGATCAACGTTAATTGTCTGACGCCTGTGCCGTCGCTGATATTCCTGGTGAGCTATAAGTGAATCCTACAATCAGGAACAACCACAAAATGCTTCCGCAAATATTAATTAAATTCCATTCCGTTAACATAATTAAGTTCTTAGTTTTCCCCTTTCCTTTCCAAAACATATAATTTAATGAAATGTGAAAATTACCACTAACATATTTATTGAGTTTAACTATTTAAGAATACTTTAAGTCAATCCCAGTATAGTGAACCGAGATATAAAGTTAAAACTTTAACCATTTTATTCGGTAACTACATAAGTTTAAAACAAGAGAGAACGCTATAGTCGGGTGCCCCGACTATCAGATACCCGTTACTCAGGTAATGGGAGTGCGAGGGAGATGGAGATAGAAACTTTGATCACGCATAACTTTTTAACGAATGGTCCGATTTGAAAAAGTTCTTCTACATTTCGATAGGTATTGATAAACACAATAAAACTGCATTTTTACTTTTCCGAAATATTTAAATTTTTAAAATCGTATATAAGCGATTGTGGGCGTTAAAGGGGGCGTGGCACCTTTTTGAAACAAACTTGCGCTGCGTAGGAACTCCTAGAATCTACATGCAAAATACCAATCTTCTAGCTTTTATAGTTTCCGAGATCTCAGCGTTCATACGGACGGACAGACAGACGGACAGACGGACATGGCTATATCGACTCGGCTAGTGACCCTGATCAAGAATATATATACTTTATAGGGTCGGAAACGCTTCCTTCTAGCTGATACATACTTTTGCACGAATACAATATACCCTTTTACTCTACGAGTAACGGGTATAACTATTAAACCAATTTAATTTTAAAACGACAGGAAAATTGTATATAAAAAATTAAATACAAAATATTTAATTTTATGAAATATTTAAAATGTATTATCTTAAAGTTCTTCTATTCATTTAGTAAGCATAACTTTTCTCTTCCAGGGCGTACTTACCATGCTACTGCTGTTTATCAAAGACACCTATGTCCTGATTAACTACGTCAGCTACGTGGAGGCTCTATTTACGCTAATCTCGGTATCCGGACTGCTGTGGCTGCGCTACAAACAACCTAAGACAGAGCGACCCATCAGAGTCAGTTTGGTACTGCCCATAATCTATCTGATCGTCTGCCTGTTCCTGGTGATCTCCTCATGCTCACAGTCGCCCTACGAAGTAGGAATAGGCACGATCATCATACTGTCTGGTATTCCAGTCTACTATCTAACAATTCACAATCCGGTCAAATGGTTAACGGACACGTCGCAGACCATCAACCTGTGGTGCTCCAAGTTCTTCATCTGTATGCCAAACCAGGAAAAGTTCGACTAGGATTGGAGGACTCTACGATTTAGTTGATGGTGTGCCTTTTGTAGATGTATCGATCAACACAGCTATCGAAGGAAATATCTCGTAGTTACCCTAAGTCTCAATTTACAAATAAGATAGTTAGCAACGCGAAATTTGGAAACCTACGCACAACATAACAAAAGTGTTATTGTATATAACTCAAATGCATTCTGGTAGGGAAGACTCTGCTAAATTTATTATTATAATTATTTTCTAATATATTACTATTGTATATTTCGCCCAAAAAAATAGTTCCTCGTCAAATCAAGAAAATGGAGACACACGAACAATGTCTATTAAATTAAATACGAACCAATTTTTATATATTATACATTTAATTAGGAGCTTATTTAGTAATTAATAAATATTATTAAAACAAGTAAAGATTGAGTTTGTTGTTTATAAGAAAGTTAATAATAAACCATATACAAATATAAAACTCAATGAGTATTTAATTTATCTGATTTTCGAATATTTCAGAGAAGGATGGCTTCGACGTCATCACTTTAAGCAGGGGAAAGTTCAAACCTGAGTTCGCTTTCCAGCTAGTTGGACCAATTATCACAACAGTTGGAATAAAGAAGATTTTAGAATTCGAATTCAGATAAACACTCAATCCTAATAACTCTGAATCCTTCAACTAATTCAATGAAATTTAAACAAGAAAGGAAAGCTAACTTCGGGCGAAGCCGAAGTTGATATACCCTTGCAGAATATTCTGTAAATTATACTCTCCAATATTATTCATATGATGCATTCTTAATACTCATAAAAAATCACAACTTCCTAACTTTAAAAACAAAGTTATCGCATTTTGGATCGTTCAGTTATATGGCAGCTATAGGATATAGTCAGCCGTTCCCGGCCGTTCCGACTTATATACTGCGTGCAAAGGAAAGAATGGTGTGTGCAAAGTTTCAATTCGATATCTTTAAAACTGAGAGACTAGAAAACAGAGAGACTGCGTAGAAACAGACATACGGACATGCTTATATCAACTCAGGAGCCGATCCTGATCATGAATATATATACTTTATAGGGTCGGAGATGTCTCCTTCAATGCGTTGCACACTTTTGACCAAAATTATAAACCTTCTGCAAGGGTATACAAATTACAATTAATATTTACATTTAATAAATACAATTTAAATTGATCTTTTTATTAAAGTGATTGTATTATTTTTCATACTTCCGCTTCCCAATATTCTTGAGTACGTTGTCCATTCCCTCGGAATGGACAATTGTTCCCTCACTTCGCATCGTACTGAGCGCGTAGGGCAGGTGCTTGGCGGGCAGCTGGAACTCGCGGACCAGGACTCGACACTGCTCCAGGGTCACCGCCATGCCGGTGCGATCCTTGGCGCTCTTGCAGGAGGTGAACCGCAGCCCGTCCATCAGCCGGCAGGCGTCCTTGGCCAGATGGAGTATCTTGACGTTCTTGGAGACGTTCGCCCGCAGCTTCTGCTCCATGAAGCCGAGGAACGACTGCAGCGACTCGCCGGCGTCGACGGAGCCGAGGCCCAGCTTCCGGTAGCGCCCGAAGTACTGGCTCAGGCGGAGATAGTTGTCCCAGTTGGAGCGGTGCTGCTCCCGCGTTTGACCCAGCGTCTCTGCAAAGCTGGCCTTCTCATTGATGCCGATGTTAAAGACGACCTGCGTGATTTTGGAGGAGATGGAGGTGCCATTTCCGGGCAGCACCTCCAACGCCTGCCGCGATCCTGTAATCCGGGGCGTCGGCGCCAGCGTTGCCTCGCCCTGTGCTCGCACCAACTGGAAACTGACGGCGGACAGGTCTTCTATGGCGATACACATGTTGCTCCACATGTCCGCCTCGTTTCCGTACAGCGTCAGCAGGCCCTCGAAGTAGGCCAGCGGCCCCAGGCCGCGGAGCATCACCAGGTAGCCCATGTCCAGCTCGCTGCCCCACAGCCGGAGCATCAGAGAGCTGACCAGCGCGGTCATGTGAGTGGCAGTGGTATATATAGTGGTATACACGGTGAATTTGAATCTTATAGAATTTTTACGAAGCAGGTTAGGTGATTATTTAAAGAACTTAATACATACTTTGCTTTGATCGAAATAGGAATTTGAAGTAAAAGGGAATACGTATGTGAAAATCATATATTCCGTTTAAAAAAACCCTACTCCAAAGCCAACTTTGAGAAGAAATTAAAGTTCAAAAAGTCGAAAAGATTAAAACAAGTGCCAAGGAACTATCTGGCTTTTTGATTTGGCTGATTTTCAACTTTTATTTTAATGTCCTCCGTCCCAGCCACTTCACTTAGTCAAATATGCAAATGGAATGCGTTCAAGTACTTGTTGAAAATTAAACGGAAATAATTGAATTATGCTTAAATCAAATGAGAAGCATTCGATTCAATTCAAACGAAAGGCAACAATCGCATTGAATAAATAAATATCTGAGCCCAGAAAAAGTAACCTATGGCGAGGAACATAATGTAAATATTTGCGTAATATACCATCATTTACATAAAGCATCAAGGAAAAACTGTTGGAATGAAAAACTCAACTCTTTTTTAAAAATAGTCATTTGACTAAGCCCGAGATCCTAACGAAGAATGATCCCCTTCCCGCGGAATCTCTGAAATGTAGTAATGTATGGTTTTTCCAAAAAAACAAGAAAGGAAAGCTAACTTCGGGCGGAGCCGACGTTGATATACCCTTGCAGAATATACTGTAAATTATACTCTCCAATATTATTCATATGATGCATTCTTTTTTTTTTTTTTTTAAGTAAAAAATTGTATATTTATTGCAAAATTTAACAGGTATACTGCTACCTATGTGGCAGCTTGAGCAGGTTGTAAATAAAGGGGATAACAAATTTTAGGTATAACCAGAAAGGAAAGCTAACTTCGGGCGGAGCCGAAGTTGATAAACCCTTGCAGAATACTCTGTAAATTATATTCTCCAAAATTCATATGATGCATTCTTAATACTCATAAAAATCCCAACTTCCTATCTTTAAAAACATCAAAGTTATGGCATTTCCAATCGTTCAGTTATATGGCAGCTATAAGATATATTCGGCCGATTCTTATGAAATTTGGTAGGTTGGATTGATTGGCCAAAAATAAAACCCATAGAAAATCCCAACTTCCTAATTTAACAAACACCAAAGTTATGGCCTTTCCGATCGTTCAGTTATATGGCAGCTATAGGATATAGTCGGCTGATCCGGCTCGTTCCGACTTATATACTACCTGCAATAGAAAGACAACTTTTGGGAAAGTTTCAAGCAGATATCTTTAAAACTGAGGCACTAGCTTGCGTAGAAACGGACAGACGGAAGGACAGACGGACGGACAGACGGACATGGTTAGATCGACTCTCCTGGTGATGCTGATCAAAAATATATATACTTTATAGGGTCGGAAATGTCTCCTTCACTGCGTTGCAAACTTTTGACTGAAATTATAATACCCTCTCCGACCCTATAAAGTATATATATTCTTGATCAGGATCACCTCCTGAGTTGATATAGCCATGTCCGTCTGTCCGTCTGTCTGTTTCTACGCAAACTAGTCCCTCAGTTTTAAAGATATCGAATTGAAACTTTGCACACACCCTTCTTTCCTTAGCACGCAGTATATATGTCGGAACGGCCGGGATCGGCCGACTATATCCTATAGCTGCCATATAACTGAATGATCGGAAATGCCATAACTTTGGTGTTTGTAAAGTTAGGAAGCTGGGATTTTCTATGGGTTTTATTTTTGGCCAATCAATCCAACCTACCAAATTTCATAAGAATCGGCCGAATATATCTTATAGCTGCCATATAACTGAACGATTGGAAATGCCATAACTTTGATGTTTTTAAAGATAGGAAGTTGGGATTTTTATGAGTATTAAGAATGCATCATATGAATTTTGGAGAATATAATTTACAGAGTATTCTGCAAGGGTTTATCAACTTCGGCTCCGCCCGAAGTTAGCTTTCCTTTCTGGTTATACCTAAAATTTGTTATCCCCTTTATTTACAACCTGCTCAAGCTGCCACATAGGTAGCAGTATACCTGTTAAATTTTGCAATAAATATACAATTTTTTACTTAAAAAAAAAAAAAAGAATGCATCATATGAATAATATTGGAGAGTATAATTTACAGTATATTCTGCAAGGGTATATCAACGTCGGCTCCGCCCGAAGTTAGCTTTCCTTTCTTGTTTTTTTGGAAAAACCATACATTACTACATTTCAGAGATTCCGCGGGAAGGGGATCATTCTTCGTTAGGATCTCGGGCTTAGTCAAATGACTATTTTTAAAAAAGAGTTGAGTTTTTCATTCCAACAGTTTTTCCTTGATGCTTTATGTAAATGATGGTATATTACGCAAATATTTACATTATGTTCCTCGCCATAGGTTACTTTTTCTGGGCTCAGATATTTATTTATTCAATGCGATTGTTGCCTTTCGTTTGAATTGAATCGAATGCTTCTCATTTGATTTAAGCATAATTCAATTATTTCCGTTTAATTTTCAACAAGTACTTGAACGCATTCCATTTGCATATTTGACTAAGTGAAGTGGCTGGGACGGAGGACATTAAAATAAAAGTTGAAAATCAGCCAAATCAAAAAAGCCAGATAGTTCCTTGGCACTTGTTTTAATCTTTTCGACTTTTTGAACTTTAATTTCTTCTCAAAGTTGGCTTTGGAGTAGGGTTTTTTAAACGGAATATATGATTTTCACATACGTATTCCCTTTTACTTCAAATTCCTATTTCGATCAAAGCAAAGTATGTATTAAGTTCTTTAAATAATCACCTAACCTGCTTCGTAAAAATTCTATAAGATTCAAATTCACAAAATTCAAATTCACCAGAAAGTTCCTTGGCACTTGTTTTTATCTTTTCGACTTTTTGAACTTTAAGAAGAAAGGGGCTTTGGAGTAGGGTTGCTTTAAACGGAATATATGATTTTCACAGTCGTATTCCCTTTTACTTTAAATTCCTTTTTCGATCAAAGCAAAGTATGTATTAAGTTCTTTAAATAATCACCTAACCTGCTTCGTAAAAATTCTTTTAGATTCAAATTCACCGTGCATACCACTATATATACCACTGCCACTCACATGACCGCGCTGGTTAGCTCTCTGATGCTCCGGCTGTGGGGCAGCGAGCTGGACATGGGCTACCTGGTGATGCTCCGCGACCTGGGGCCGCTGGCCTACTTCGAGGGCCTGCTGACGCTGTACGGAAACGAGGCGGACATGTGGAGCAACATGTGTATCGCCATAGAAGACCTGTCCGCCGTCAGTTTCCAGTTGGTGCGAGCACAGGGCGAGGCAACGCTGGCGCCGACGCCCCGGATTACAGGATCGCGGCAGGCGTTGGAGGTGCTGCCCGGAAATGGCACCTCCATCTCCTCCAAAATCACGCAGGTCTTTTTTAACATCGGCATCAATGAGAAGGCCAGCTTTGCAGAGACGCTGGGTCAAACGCGGGAGCAGCACCGCTCCAACTGGGACAACTATCTCCGCCTGAGCCAGTACTTCGGGCGCTACCGGAAGCTGGGCCTCGGCTCCGTCGACGCCGGCGAGTCGCTGCAGTCGTTCCTCGGCTTCATGGAGCAGCAGCTGCGGGCGAACGTCTCCAAGAACGTCAAGATACTCCATCTGGCCAAGGACGCCTGCCGGCTGATGGACGGGCTGCGGTTCACCTCCTGCAAGAGCGCCAAGGATCGCACCGGCATGGCGGTGACCCTGGAGCAGTGTCGAGTCCTGGTCCGCGAGTTCCAGCTGCCCGCCAAGCACCTGCCCTACGCGCTCAGTACGATGCGAAGTGAGGGAGCAATTGTCCATTCCAAGGGAATGGACAACGTACTCAAGAATATTGGGAAGCGGAAGTATGAAAAATAATAAAATCACTTTAATAAAAAAATCAATTTAAATGTAAATATTAATTGAAATTTTTATACCCTTGCAGAAGGTTTATAATTTTGGTCAAAAGTGTGCAACGCAGTGAAGGACATCTCCGACCCTATAAAGTATATATATTCTTGATCAGGGTCACCTCCTGAGTTGATATAAGCATGTCCGTCTGTCTGTCCGTCTGTCTGTTTCTACGCAAATTAGTCTCTCAGTTTTAAAGATATCGAATTGAAACTTTGCACACACCCTTCTTTCCTTTGCACGCAGTATATAAGTCGGATCGGCCGACTATATCCTATAGCTGCCATATAACTGAACGATTGAAAATGCTATAACTTTGGTGTTTTTAAAGTTAGGAAGTTGGGATTTTCTATGGATTTTATTTTTGGCCAATTATATCCTATAGCTGCCATATAACTGATTGATCGGAAATGTCATAACTTTGGTGTTTGTAAAGGAAGTTGTGATTTTCTATGGGTTTTATATTTGGCCAATCAATCCGACCTACCAAATGTCATAAGGATCGGCCGACTATATCCTATAGACGGACATGCTTATATCAACTCAGGAGGTGACCCTGATCAAGATATTATATACTTTATAGGATCGGAGATGTCTCCTTCAATGCGTTGCACACTATAGGATATAGTCGGCCGATCCCAGCCGTTCCGACTTACATATATACTTCGTGCAAAGAAAAGAAGGGTGTGTGCAGTTTCAATTCGATATCTTTAAAACTGAGAGACTAGTTTGCGTAGAAACAGACAGACGGACAGACAGACGGACATGCTTATATCAACTCAGGAGGTGACCCTGATCAAGAATATATATACTTTATAGGGTCGGAGATGTCTCCTTCAATGCGTTGCACACTTTTGACCAAAATTATAATAACCTCTGCAAGGGTATAAAAAGAAATTTTCTTACGCACGATGGACCAGAAAATATATTGCTCTTGTGAGTCTTGGCATGTGGTTTTCAACGTTAAATAATAATAGTTTAGATAGGCAGGTGCAGACAACTAAAATATAAACAAAGCTACATTTTCTCACACTTAGCTGGGTCAAAAGTCTCCACAAAGTTTCGAGAAATTTAAAGAACTTACTTTAATAGCAATTATGAACAGGCAAGTATGAAAAAGCACTACCCGTGGCCTTCATTTCCGGAAGAAAATCTATTTACAATGGAATTTTTACCAACGAACAAAAATGTATTGTTATATCTTAAATAATACAAAATAATGAATACATAATATTTGTATGCAATTAATAGGCTTGCACAGAGCGTGTGTTTAAGCATTTTTCCGTTTGAACCGTAGTAACGGCCAGACGATTTGAACTGTTTTAGCTGTCAAAATTACTGGTCAAGTGAAAGCTTTTCCGAAGCTTTACCCGAATAGCAGTTAAGTTGACAGCGAGTGCGCAGAGTGATGAGAAATCCCCGAGAGAGAGGGAGAAAGGAGAACCCGCCTCTCGCCGAAAGTCGTATAAAAGCGTTGCGTGGGCGAAACTGTCATTTCAAAAGACCGTTGAGCGGGATCGGTAGTTGGCCGCAGCGTTACGGATCGCACGCGTCTGTGAAAACTCGAGAAAATCCCGGTGAAACCCCGTGAAATGACGAGCGTCTAGTAGAGTGCGAGTTCGACATTAAATATTTACCACTCAAGTGTTCAGTTCATAAAGATGGCCAGAAAGCAGGTGCTAGTCCTAACCATCCTGTGCCTGGGTTCCTTTTTTTTCGGAACCGCACGGACTTCCACGGAATATAATCGCTACTTGGCCCAGATATTCCAAAAATACGGCAATGGCGGGACAATCAACTTTGAGGTAATAACCAATAAACCATCGAACTAGCCTTGTAAACACACACAAGAGTAATTTGAGCACAGGTAAACACAGGTAAACAAAGTCGGACACGGACAAAGCTTTTGCGGTTAATGTTATGGCAAAAAATTAGTGAGTTTGTGTCTTTTTTTTCGGACAGCAACAAAAACAAAGGGAGTTGGGGAGGCGGGGTTTATATAAATTAGAGTTCATCAAATATTTGAGCATTGTGAAAGTGAAGCCATTCTGTTCTGGCCAAGTTGCCAAACAAGCAAACAAAACACTCTCGGCAGTTATAAACGCGTCACTCTCAAAAAGGTTGTAATCTTTATAATACGCGGAGCAATTTTATAACACAGGGGGCGATGAGGAGCACTCGTCGTCTCGTTTGGAACGTATGATACAAAACGTAGACTTTATTGCGGCCATTATCATAAATTTAATCAAAATCCAGACAAACGAACAACACACAGTCTGATATACAGTGCGAGTCTTGAGCATCCACACGAGTGTCGTCGCAGTACCGTCCAACATCCTCCGTTATCCGAATCAGAGATTAGGAGATTAGCCCGATAAGTCTGTTTCCTCTAATGAGGATGATAGCCCGGCACAGCTGACGAAATATGTATAAGCCCTCATCAACAACTTTCGCAACGCGATCGTTATGCTTCTGGACTCCAAATTTATGGACAGACAGCCCGAGTCCATACAATCCGAGCCAATTGACATTACTCATGCGTATAGTCTACGCAATACGCTCTGTCCATTTAAATGGCACGTTACTAAAATGTTTCTACTTTTTACGCACTCGGCATACTAACACGAAAGGTCCCACCCCCTCCCAGGCCACCCACCTCATATTCTATTATCATTCTAATATTCCAATTTCGATTACATAGTATACTTGGCACACAAACAAATTTTCGCTGAATGAAAGTAAAACTGCCATTTGGTGGGTTGAAGAGCTCCATAATAAGTAGTTTTTTGGTTTGTTTTTTGCCGGCGCGTGTTGCTTAACGTTTGTTGATATGCAAATTCTGAAATCCTGATCTTGGTTAAGGAGCCACTCATCATTTACCTGACACACGCCCCAATCCCCGGCGACAGGTAGCTGTCAAGGCAATTAGATGGATTTCCCCTTCCCCCTGAAACCTCCACCCACTTTTCCAACAGCAAAAATGCGGCAGACAACAGGTATAACAATAAACAAATGGATTCAGATGTAAATATAATTGCTTGGCACGTTGACAAGTAAATCAAGTAATTATCTGTGATAGATCGAAGCCAAAGCAAATATGTACCTACTTTGACAAATTAGCAGAAATCTGTAGGTGCGAATTGTAGGCGGCAAAATTTGTAAAGTATTATTGTGAAAAATTGACAAAAAGTGGGGGTTTGTTTTGATGGAGATTTTAGGGAGGCCTCGAATCAAAACAGCTGACAATTGTTTTTTGCTGATGTCCCCAGATTATTTTCTATATAGGTTTAAAAAGTTCAAGGTTGATAACAATGTACAACATACAGCTTGAATAGTTTAGGGCAATAACACAAATTTCTACGTCAATAACTTTTGGCATATTAAAAGTAACCAATCAATAAATTCTAAAGCTTGACCAAAATGATGAAGTTTAAATAACTATCTAATGGTTGGTTTGTGTTTCATTTCAGCAAGTGGAAAAGAAAAGAAAAATATTTTAAAATTTAATTAGTGCTCTTCTACCACATCTCGATTTTTTTTTAATTCTTAGAAATTTAATTTTTGTTACAATGTTTATTTTAATTACTTATTTATTATTATTATTTTATTATAATTGATTATTTCATTAAGTAAATTATTTTTTAATTTCATTTCCAGGGTCTCGAGCATTTGATGTTTAGCTTGAACTTGGGCCAGATCCAGTTTGACCCCTCCCACACGATTGATCAGCATCGACCCGAAGGATACTCCAAGGAAATATCACACATAACAAATGTCAGTAGTTACTTTGAGCCAGCAAGAGGTAATGCCACCGATGAGGAAGTTTTGGAGGTGCAAATCTCTATGCCTTCTAGTAATCTCTCAAAGCCAGAGACGGGACCAGAAGTTCCGGAATTCCTGGAAATTCATGACCCCAAGCACAGGCACCCAAGGGAGAGCTCTGGTGAGTGTTGCCGTGTTATGTTTATTTTAGAAATGGCCTGGGTTATCTTTACGGTAGGGATTTGGCACTACACTTCTATACGTTGTGTTTACCCACCATCAGCGATGACTGATAATACTTCAGATAAGCTAGTAAAGACAACAATAGTCATAAACAGTAGGCTAACTTTCTTATTTAGCCAGGGTCTCAGGAATCCGAAAAGCCGAGAAATTCCAAGAATACTTGGATTAAAGCAATTATAAACAGGCACATGTGGTATCACCTAAATGTCGCATCAGAATGAAAGTATAAATACATATGTAGATGAAGCCGGGCCTCGACTCTTCCCATCAATTGGCCGATTTCCAAGTACAAGGCGACCGGCGACTGCGGTCTATCATCAATTCAATTATGCCATCCCATCCTCCCATCTCATTTGGTTGATAGGAAGTTCCGTCTGTGATCGCGGCCTTGTCGCATAAATTATCAGATATACATATATAAATTATCAGATGCGTATATCTTTCTCCTTTTGGGCAGTAAATGTAGCCGTAAATCAGCAGGTAGGGAAGATCATTGTGAGCAGGCGACGAAAACAGGGCGATAACACAATAAACGAACGCATTATGGATGCGGAAATCCAAAACAAAACAACAATTGAAACAGGTACAGATGCAGATCGAGAAACAAACAGGCCTCAATCGCTTCGTTTGTTATTTTTGTTGGTTGGGCTTTACAGTTAATTGAAGTGCACACAATCATTACAACGTTGTCCCATATAAAGTTGACGCTAAACAGCCGACTAAATTAATGGCAAGTTCGCACAAGTGAATTGGATAACAATCAACTGATGAGAAAGCAACGTGTAGGGATCGGAGAAATGTAATTTCTATTTCCGTAGAAAAATAGTAACAAAGCTTGAGAAGTAAACAAGATTTCTAAGGGAAAGAGGCACGAATAAAACCACTTAATAGTTTTTAAATAGAACTAACAGGTGCTACCCAGAAACTTAAAGAAGCTCTGAAATGAACTTTACATTTTAAGTCATTATTTAACTTATAAATTTAAAAGTGTTTTGGGCTTATTATGGTTTAACTAGGAAATGAGTATAAATATACATTGTTTACCTTGGACATAAATAAAATTTTTTAAACCTAATTACATTAACCATTTTTCTAAATTTGATTTTGAAGAAAGTGATAATAAGCAGCGTCTCCCACTTTCAGAGCCTGTGGCCGCTTGTTTATCTCCAAAGTCCCTGCTTTCTCTTCTCGTGGACCACAATGATCTCCACAAAAACATTGCCTACAAAAAACTGATCAAAAAGGATGGCCACGGTTCAACTGATACTATTCACAACTCGGAGGAGGAGTACAACGAATTCATCAACTCGGTGAGGATTACACCGCGCGCATTTATGAAACTCTGTCCAGCTTTACTGGCTCAAATCGATAATGGAGTTTGCAAGCAACCAGCTCCAAGATCAGAAAATCTTCACGATAAAAACCAAAAGATTTGGTACGGTAGGTATCCTTAAATGTATTCCTGTTAACAAAATAACTTACAGGCATTTTTTCAGCATGGATGTATGCCAGCATCTCCATGTTGATTCTCTCTGCATGCGGTTTGCTGGGAATTCTGCTGGTTCCTCTGATGAAGACAGCTGCCTACCAAGAAGTCCTCAAGTTCCTGGTGTCTATTGCAGTAGGCACTTTAGCCGGCGATGCCCTGATGCACTTGCTCCCCCATGCTCTTTTTAAGGAGGAGAAACATGAGGAGGAAGTGACTGGTATTAATCCCTTGGAATCGGATCACAAACACAGCAATGAGGCTGCCCTGCTCTGTGGTTGCTCCTTCTTGGCGGCCCTCTTCATGTATATGCTGGAGAATCTGATACCTTTGCTAAAAGGAGGCAAGCCAGGCCACGGACATAGCCATGGACATGGTCACAGCCACGGTCACGGTCACAGTCACAGTCAATCGGAAAAGCCAGCACAACAGGATGGTCCTGATTACCCAGCTCCTCGAGAACTTAATGTAATGCTCCAAGAGGCCAAGTTGGATGAGAAGACCCCTGATCGTCCACTCACACCAGTTGCCTTCATGGTGATCATAGGTGATGGGTTGCACAATCTCACCGATGGTCTGGCCATTGGCGCAGCTTTTGCCAGCGACCCAGTCACTGGATTTGCCACTGCTTTCGCAGTCCTTTGCCACGAATTGCCCCACGAGCTGGGGGATTTCGCTCTGCTCCTCCAAACAGGTGTGTCCATGCGAAGAGCCGTCTACATGAACATTGTAAGCTCAGTTCTCAGCTTCGTGGGAATGTCCGTGGGTCTCTTTATCGCCGGCATTGGTGACGGTATGACCCAATGGATTTATGCAGCCACCGCTGGTTCCTTCCTGTATATCGCCTTTGCCGATTTGGTGCCCACAATGAGTGTGGCCCACAATCCGGAGATGGCCAAAGATCCAAAGGGTATAATTATACAAATTATTGGTATCCTCCTGGGTGGACTGATAATGTTAGTTATTGCCCTGAAAGAGCACGATTTGGAGGGTCTGTTCAAGAGCTTTCAAAATAACTGATGGGAATCTCAAGCAGATAAAAATGTTATTTCTGTTTTTGTATTGTATATAGTAGCCTATAAGCATCTGTTTCTTTGAAATCTCCGATTCTCTGCCTTATTCAAGCATGCCTTAAATGTTAAAGATGAAATCGTTACCAAATGTTAAAGTCTGTATCCCTAGAATAAAATAGGTTTTTAAGGTGTTTTAAAGACCAAATTGAATGAAAAAAAAACTTTTTTTCCAAGTAAGATATACCCTAATAAAAACAATGTTTCTAAAAAACCATAAGTGTTTCATTGAATGAATTCAGCTTAATTTTGAACGCTGATTTATCAATTAAAAATAGTATGAGATTTCCAGAAATGCATTCCATAAGATAAGTTAATAAGTGGAAATTGTAAAAACTTTAATATTGGTTAGTATATAATTGTTAAAGACGAGTTTTTTTTGTAACAAATGATACGCTCTTTAATGATTTACCTGTTAACACTTATTGTATATATTTAAATATTAAAGAACGTTTTAAGATAATTGCAGTTGTTGTTGTTCCTCAAAAGGTTCATTGGGCAGGCGTGCGGGGCTCTACAAAAATTGTTTAAAAAACTGTCACAGAACCTTCTTATTTGATTAGCTAAAAAATACTTACAGGTTTCTTTGACCTCTCCTCTAGAATGCCGAATGCCACATGGTTCAGCTGGAAGCCAGAGGGCAGGGCTACTCCCTGAATGCGATAGAAGGCGCCTGCTGGGCCTTCCGCTGCAACATTGTAGGCCGCTGAGATTGTGCATTTGCCCAGAAAGCCAGTAGAGCCAACCATCGGACCACGTGAGATGTCGATGTGATCCCCGATTCGATACAAAGTGACTCTTCCATTGGTCTGCTGTGCAATGCTGGGCAACTGCTCACTCTTATACTTGGAATCCTTAAACATCTCCTGAGCGAGATCCTGCTGGACGTCCAAGCGCTCTATGCGTAGATCCTGTGCGGATAACTTAACCATTTCAGCCGAAATGGCGCGCATCTCCTCCTTTGATGGCTGCCAAGTCTGGGTCTGCAGTACAATGTCATGGACAAAGCTGCCCGATTTGACTGTGAAAATGCATAAAAAAGATTTGTTTTAGGGGAACCTTTTAAATGTATATAAATATTAATATAAATCTGTTGTGTTAATGAATACACTATTTCTATTTCTAATTAACATGTTTTTATTTTCAAGTCCATGAGATGTTGTTAACTGTCCAATATATCAAATAATGGTTCTTTGACTGTTTTTATACCCTTGCAGAGGGTATTATAATTTTGGTTAGAAGTTTGTAACGCAGTGAAGGAGACGTTTCCGACCCTATAAAGTATATATATTCTTGATCAGGATCAATAGGGGAGTCGATATAGCCATGTCCGTCTGTCCGTCTGTTTCAATACCGTTTGCGAGCTCAGTTTAAAAGCTAGCGATCTGAAACTTTCACACTCGTCCTAAAACATGTGTACGCATATCAAGTTTGAAAATCGCCCCGATCGGACGTCTATATCCTATAGCTCCCATAGGAACAATCGGATATATCTAGCAAGAATTGATGATATTTCGCCAGTGTAAAAGCTATTGACATAAATCTTTCCGAATCGTATTTTTTTATGCATACCTTGATCAGGGTAAAAGCGCGTGGCGATCGGACGTCTATATCCTATAGCTCCCATAGGAACAATAGGGTAAAATCGGTTTAAATTTTATGTTTTTCAGAATATTTCGCGCTGTGTAAAAGCTATTGCTATAAATTTTTTCAAATCGTATTTTTGTATGCATTCCTTCATCAAGGTAAAAGCGCGTGCTGATCGGACGTCTATATCCTATAGCTCCCATAGGAACAATCGGATATAACTTTCAAGAATGGAAGATATTTCGCGCAGTGTAAAAGCTATTAACATAAATCTTTCCAAATCTTATTTTTTTATGCATACCTTGATCAGGGTAAAAGCGCTTGGCGATCGGACGTCTATATCCTATAGCTCCCATTGGAACAATAGGGTGAAATCGGTTAAAATTTAATGATTTTTAGGATATTTCGCACAGTATATAAGCAATTGACATGAATCTTTCCAAATCGTATTTTTTTATGCATACCTTGATTGTCTATATCCTACAGCTTCCATAGGAACAACAGGGTGAAATCGGTCCAAATTTGATGATTTTCTGAATTTTTCGCGTAGTGTGTAAGCTACTGACATAAATTTTTCCAAGTCTTATTTATTTACGCATATCTTGATTAGGGTAAAAGCGCTTGCCGATCGGACGTCTATTTCTTATAGCTTCCGTAGGAAAAATAGTTAAAGGCTGCGAAAGTATCCCTTTTTTTCTATTTTTATATGACATTTTTGCAGTATAAAAGCAATTGACATTAAACGATGCAAATCTAGTTTATTTATGTATACCTTATTCCTTTCGCTACTTTTTCAGTTTTAGCAATTTCGGCAAAGTCTGCAAGGGTATTAAAACTGCGGCTTGCCGAAGTTAGCTTCCGTCCTCGTTAAAATTAAACTAGGGTGTATTTTATAGGTTGACTATATTCAAATTTGATTCACGCCAAGATGCTGATAAAGTTTTAGCTGTAGCCCGATTTGTTTGTAAAGGTATAGATCTAACAAGAAAAATAACTTCAAATGTAACAGCCGAGGCACGCCAATTTTTTTAAATAGCGTATTATTACAGAAAAAATTAATTTTAAATAAAAAGGTACCATAGTAATCTGAATTTCAGCTCTAGTTGTTATATTATTATTTGACCACGCTTTTCTCAAAAAATCTTTTCAGAATTATTTGGTCTTTGACTTTTTTTGTTTTGTACTGTAGTGTTTTTAATTGTCTCCTTAGATATTTTTAGGTAATTCGATAGGAAATTAATTTTTCTCAACCCCTCAAACTGCATTTGACTTTGTGAATGGGAAGCCGGGCCAAATAATATAGATATTTAAGCTTACTGTTCGGTCCTGGGAAGCTATGCAGTTGAAGATTGGCTTCCGGCTTAAAAGCACGGTTCAAGGCGGCGCCCAACATAAAACTGCAAGTACGCCAAAAGGCTCTGCAAGAAAGGTATTGAAATGATAACAATATTTATTTTTTTCCATATACAGAAGCACACCCACTTGTTGACCACGTGCGGCTCGGAGACATGGAAGTTGAGCAGCTGCAGAGTACAGGATTCCTGCAAAGGTCTGTGCATATCCCAGGGCACACTGCCGTCGACAAGGGCCAGTGCCGAGCGCTTGCAGTGTCCCTCACTCAGGTGCTGGGCACAATTGAAGGGCGTGGAGATGTTGCTGTTCATCACCAGAGTGACATCTTCGGGAAGTCCCAGGTAACGCACCTCGATCTTATCGATACGACCCACAGCATCCCGTTGCCGGCGCTGCTCCTGGTTGAATAGGTCGTTTCGCTTGGCTATCGAAGCGCTGAAGTTTGCTGTAAGTAAAAAGTTTAAATTCACATTAATATTCAAAGCTATTTTATTTGTGATACAATACCGAAATGAAAGTATTACAATTTAAAGGTAAGGCCCTTAAATTGATATTATTTGAAGTAAAAAAGGTCTTTAAATTTGTTATAAGACAAATCAAAAAAGGAAATTAACCTTTTGATCTAAGTTTAAATTCGTATACATTTTTAATAAGGATGCCAAATTTTTCGAATCATACAATTAAAACAAATTTTTGTATACTTATAATGCGAATATACATATATAAATATGTATTTTCACTTATTTTCTACTGATTTTCGGAATATATACAAGTATTAAAATTTGTCCCAGTCTAGCTATTTTCCGACGAAGCACTGCCGAACATGCCATCACTGCCACTGGAGCTCCGCCAAACGTGAGAGTGCACCGGCATTATGTAAACCGCTTCCTCGATCTCTGATCAATTAAAGGGCTCTTAATTGTCATTACTTACCATTAGTTCTGTATTGTTGGAGCTGTCGAAGGGCGCACCAGCTTGTTTTATGTAATTTTGTGGCCGCAGACATTGTAAATTACCAAAATACTCTCCAGGGATGCGATGAACAATGCCGATGGCAATAACCGAGGGCAGTAGAAGATTAATATATATCGATACTGTTGATTCGATAGTATTTTAAAATAAAAATTTGATTATGTTCAGATTTATAAACTGTTGGACACCAAAGGTTCAGTAAATTGAACAAATATTTATTTGCCAATATTTACAATAAAATGATTGCATAAAAAAAGGGTAATAAATTATTAGAACAACATTTATTTATTTTATATTATTTTTTTTGAAACATCCGCGATAGTCTTGAAATAATCGATATGGCCGTTTGCTCTAAACTATCGATGCCTTATCGATGTCACTTCCAGCTCTATCACGCCTTCAACAATTTTGATTGTCATTCCGCTTGGCAAAAAACAAGAAACTTAATTTTTCGTGTGAATATAATTAAAATAAAAAGCACAAACAATGGATTTGGATATGGCACGCGATCTGCCACGCGCTGGCTTTAATTTCGAGAACTGCAAGCGGTAAGAACTATCTAGGCTGTCCAGAAATCGTTGAGCGGCTTTTAATAAATACTCCTTATTTGCTTTCAGCAATACGACTCTTTTAACTAAGGGCTTCAAGCCACCGACCACAACCAAGACGGGAACCACCATCGTGGGCATTATCTTCAAGGACGGCGTTATCCTCGGCGCTGATACGCGTGCCACCGAGGGCCCCATCGTCTCAGACAAAAACTGCGCCAAGATTCACTACTTGGCCAAGAATATATAGTGAGTCCATAGGTGGCACACAGTGTGTCCATAAGGTTTAACGTTCTGATTTCACTAGAGAATGTCAGTAGCCGATATTGATTACCCTACTAAAACAGAGCCGCTTAACATACGAGCTGTAAGACTTTCAAAAACTTTTCCTCGCCGGTTTCTATGTTATAAAGACAAATGTAAAGATGTACTTACTAGGATTAGGTACACTTCTACATAACAAATTCAAATGAAATTATGTTGTTGACTGAGGAAGTGAAATCAGAATATATTATTGAACGTACAAAGGAACTACAGTCAACCCTTTCAAATTCAACTAATCGTTAAGTTTATCTAATTTTATTGAAAATAGAGAATGTGACAATGTAACATTTTTTGCCATAATTGTTTTTCAGATGTTTGGTGTTATACAAGTTTGACTGCAGTTCATTTGGTTCTGGAATTACAGATTCAAATAAAAAAGATCTTATTACTTAATCCTATATATATACTTTCGAAAAAACTCCTTGCAGTT